GTGCAAACATATAGAATAAACAAAACAGTTGTTGCTCATCCCAGGAAGACAGATTTTGGGCAGAGTTCCTCATAGTCTGTGACATCTACAAGAGTCTCAGACATTTGTGCAGAACCATATTACGTTATCACCTTAAGTTTCTCTCTGCTGTCTTCCCATGACTTTTTCTCCTGCCCTTAAAAGAACACGAATCATCATCACAAAGAGAAACCTGTTTAAGCTTCATAAAAATGCTATTCATTTTTTCCCTCTGAAACAGATTCAGGTATTTCCAGGGGACTCAGTTTTTCCTTGAGAGTAGTAAAATAATGAGTAATATGTGCAGCAAAGTGCTGTTAAATCAAAACATTCCATTTATTAACAGGTACAGTAGTCGTGCTGCATACATCCTCTGCAGTAATATAGATTCAGATTAAAGGGAGAGAAGTAAGGGAAAAAAACCAAACCATCCTCCAATTTGTAATGCTTCTTTGACAGAAATTTCACTCTGCCGCCACAATCTCACATATATAGGAGTGAAGATGTTGTTTCAGCAACAATGTCTCAGCTACTTTGTTTCAAAATAAATTTACATCCTTCTTCAGTTACATCTGACATCCTCAAGGGATTGAATTTGGAACTGGAACAACGGTGTTCTTTGCAGCAGATACCTCTCCAATGAGATCAATGTAACAATGTGGTATTTCTGTTAATTAACCTCATATGAGATCCATTTTGGGATTAATGTAGAGGAACTGTACTGCTAGTTCCCCATACCTTCTTTTCCTTGGTGATGGTTTATGTAATATATCACAATTCTTGGAAGGTTTCTGAGGCAGATTACTTCAGTGAAAAGACAATTTATTATGCCAGACATTTTTCCTCTCATTCTGCTGTAATAAAGTAACATAAACAACCTACCCTGGATCAGAGAAGCAGCTGGGGAATTTTGTTTTGGTTTTACTGACTTGGATTTATGGTACAATTTATTTCACAACAAATCTTGTGTTAGATGTTGCTTTCCCGTGGTTCATTTTGTCAGCAGTCAAAATTCTGAGACAATAAAAGGAGCTTTTCTAGATGAAATGCTTGCAAGCTGTATTTTGGATAGCATGAGGTTCTGCATTTTTTTTCTATCGAACATATTTCTGTGGGTTTTTTCTGTACTGAGTTAATTTTTTCAATTTATTAGATTTGCTTGCAAATTACATGAATCTGTATAATAAAAAGAAGGACTTTAGTTAGTGTTGCTTAAACTTTAGGATTAACCTATCATCACATAGTAGGTTAAACTTAATATTTTATTCAGTAAAGTTTTATTATTTTCTGTTGCTGTGTTTCTTTTTAACTTCTATTTGACAAAATTAAAAAATCCCGACCAAACTAGCAACAATATTAGTGGCATATCTCATCAAGAATATTAATAATTTTGTATTAAAGCCTTAATATAGCATGCCAAACCAAAACAAATATACCTGGTAACTTCTTGTGTCATATTGTCCTCCAAGGCTACCTTGAGACTTAAAGCCTCACTTATAAATGGGTAACACTAAGCTCTGAGCTGTTATGCATCATGTTAATTTATTAATTAACTAACTTAAATTAGATTATTTAACTTGGAGAGTTCACGAGAGACTGTTCTGCTTTTCTTTCTTTGGAGTATTCCTTCCAAATCTACTCCTCAATCTAACCAGTCACTATTTGAATTATCACAGCAAAATCAATCCACAAAATTGAATGATCCAGCTAAAGCTTACAGATGCTGTGATTAGAAAGACAAAATCTATTGATATAACAGCTAGAATAAACTGGAAAATCTCAAATGATACTCTGAAAGAAGGGGATTTAGCTTTCAGTATATCTGGAAGTTGATATCCATCAATAAATATGCCAATGGCATAATGTAAACATATGGTATGCAGTGGACTGATTCTTTTCACATTTATGCACTGAATGTGAAAGAAATCAAAATATTCATTGTGCCCAGGACTATTTTCCTGTGAGAAAAATTTATTTGTATATGGAAAGAGGAATAAGCTGATTTTATACTTGAATAACAGAAACACACATTGTAAAAAAATAACAACTAATTTGTGAAGTATTTTCTTCCAATCTCTACTCCCAGCAAGCAGTGAAATTTTCATTTCTCTTACATTACTTTTCAGTCCCGCCCTTTTGTTACACTCTGTGGGACAATTTCTTAATCTTAATTACTCCAAGTATTGTTTTATAACTGGAGTATGTGTTCTAATCCAGAATGGTTCTTTGTTTTCAGAAGGAAGTAGTTATTATTTTTCCTACATATATAATATATACACCTCACACCATCAGTGATACAAATTTGGTCCAGTTTTTGAGGACATATTACACTAACAGGTATGTCTGGGTTAATTCCACAAATGTAATTGCAAAAGTCATTATATCTAGATACATAGTGCTGTGCAGGGGTTTCTAAAGTATACACTGATTCTTTAAATACTGCATATTTATGTAATTTTATTCATTTCTGTAGGTCCCAGGGGTGTTGATAAAATCGGATCCTTAGGTTTCATGTAGTGAGCACATTTGCATTTTTTTTAAATGTAGACTTGTAGTCGTGCTTTTGTGTTGTTTAAATTTTAAAAACATTTACAGTAGCACTAATATTCGGTGTGCCCTAAGGTTTCTTTTCAGTGAAATTATTCATCCTTGGAAAGTAATCATGGCTGAAAGGCAAGTCAAATACTGCTACTGCTTAGTTAAATTTTAAATTTCATCTTAACAGAACTCAGTAATATATCTCCTAATTCTATTCTTATTCTCATGATGATACATTATTTTTTCATGACATGGTTAGAGTTCAGTATTTTTAAATCTCATAAAATGATAAAGCTAAAACATGCTGGAAGACATACAATTCTACTTGCTCTATTTACAAGAAAACACTTATGTTTAAATGGCAAATTCATGCAAAAATGCCCAAATAGAGTGTGAAATGTAGAAGTTACTGTTTTTCCAAATTCATTAAATCCCTTTAGCTTCACATTTAATGGGAACTCTGTCGGACTCCTGTAGAAACTAAAGAAATAGAAATTCTAATAAATCTGCACTGAAAAAAATAACAAAGAGTATGGACAGAAATAATTATGCTTTCATGGGATATATAACTTGAAGGTCTAAAGCAACTAAAGAAATGCTTCTTTATAATGAAAAAATTAGGCTCTCTAGGGATTGTGAAAGATACTACTGGCTCTTTTTTAAGATATTACATTTCTACAACCACTTGCCAAGTGTAGGGGAAAAATGACCTCCCTGCTCCTGCTGGCCACACTGTTCCTGACACAGGCCAGGATGCCTTTGGCCTTCTTGGCCACCAGGGCACACTGCTGGCTCATGTTCATGTCAATCAGCACCCCCAGGTCCCTTTCTGCCTGGGCACTGTCCCGCCACAGCTGTCCCCAGCCTATAATGCTGCAGGGGGTTATTGTGGCCAAAATGCAAGAATCAGCATGTGGATTTATTAAACGTCATCCTATTGGACTTTGCACATCCATCCAACTGCTCCAGGTCTCTTTGCAGAGCCGTCCTACCATCCAAAAGATCAACACATGCTCCCAGCTTAGTGTCATCTGCAAACATACTAACCATAGACTCAATCCCCTCATCCATGTCATCAATAAAAACATTGAACAGACCAGGCCCCAGCACAGAGCCCTGAGGACACCCCTGGTGCCTGGCCCCCAGCTGGTGCAGCACCGTCCAGCACCACTCTCTGGGCCCGGCCATCCAGCCAGTTCCTAACACAGCAAAGAGTGCCCTGTCCAAGCCGTGGGCTGCCAGCTTTTTCAGGAGTGTGCTGCGGGAGACAGTGTGAAAGGCCTTGCTGCAGTCCAGGGACACAGCATCCACAGCCTTTCCTGCATCCACCAGGTGGGTCACCTGGTCATGAAATTTCATCACATATTGTTCCCGCTGCTGCTCCGGGGGTGCAGTCCTTCCTCTTCTCCAGCACAGGGTTCCTCCCATGGGAGACAGTTCTCCATGAGCTACACCAAACTGAATCTATCCCATGGACAACAGCTCTCCATTAACTTCTCCAGCGTGTGTCATTCTTCCCCAGGATCAATTCTTCAAGGACAGGCCGCTGCTTCACCCACAGGATCACAAATCCTACCAGGAAACCTGCTCCAGCATTTGCTCCTGGAATAGGTCTGCAGGTCCCTGCCAGGAGCCTGTTTCAGCACAGGCTTCCCACGGGGTCAAGGCCCTCTCTCAGCACCCATCTGCTTTGGTGTGTGCCTCTTCCATGGGCTGCAGGTGGAACTCTGCATCCCTGTGGTCTCCCACAGGCTGTAGGGGCACAGCTGCATCTCCATGGGCTGCACTATGGACTGCAGGGGAATCTCAGTTCTGGAGCAACTCCTGCCTCTCCTTCTGCACTGACCTGAGTGTCTGCAGGGCTGTTCCTCCCACATCCTCATCCTGCTCTTCTCTTGCCACAATACATCTGCACAATAACATTTTCCTTCTTAAATATGTTATCACAGAATGTTACCATCACTGGTGGGCTCAGAGCTGGCCAGCAGTGGGTCCAACCTGGATCCAGCTAGGATTGGCTCTGTCAGACATGGGAGAAGCTTCTGGCACCTTCTCCTAGAAGCCGCCCCTGTAGCAGCCTTGCTACAAAAACCTGTGAGTGCAAACCCAATACGCTGTGCTCACAATCTGAACACAAGATATAGCTCCCCATCAAGGTTCTTAATTGTTGCCCAACACTGACTTCACTGTTCCTGCAGAAGCATAACTTCCTCAGTCACAGCAATGATTTTATGCAGATGAAAAAAGGGACTATTAGCACTCAACAAAAAGCTGATGTACTGTGATAAAACCAATGTACTGTCAGAATATGAGACTTGTTATTTACAAGTGAAGAAAGAAAATTACGAATTTGTCTTCTTTTTATAAATTTATTACTTCATCAAATTTTATTCCTTTTTTTTTTTTTTTTTTTTTTTTTTTTTTTTTTTTTTTTTTGCCTTTAGCTATGGTTGTTCTGAGCAATTTGGAACCAAACACAACCTATGAAATCAAAGTAGCTGCCGTAAATGGAAAAGGGCAAGGAGAGTATAGCAAAATTGAGATCTTTCAGACCTTACCTGTCCGTGAGTAATACTTGTGCTGTTAAATGAAAGTTGTTATTATTGCTATTATTATTATATCTCTAGATTTGAGTTATGATCCACTGTAGATAATGTTTCATGTTTCTAATCCACTCCCCAGTGTATTATATCAGTTTTTACATTGTTTCTCAGAAATCATGTTTTGTTATTCCACCCTGCAAGAAGTATGAGTGTACTTAAATTGGAGACTTTTATCCCATTATCTTACTTTTTTTGAGATTCAGAAAAGCCTTTATGATGTAATGGAGCACAAACCATGAGAGATGTTAGAATAAGGAGTTTTTCTTATTCATAGCACTCAGGATATTATCCACATCTAAGAGAAGTGATTTAACCATTTCTGGAGACATTTCTTCACCAAATTATGGTGCTATTCTTCTGCAATTATCAAGCCTCAAATAGAAATCTTAAGCTATGGAAGAAATGATGAGAATAAATTGTTTTAACCATGGCTACATGCAAATGAGAAATTCTATGAAACCAATTTTGTATTTGTACTAACTATAGGCCAGAGGTTCAGATTAAAATATTAAAGGCAAATGAAAAATATTTTTGTCAAATTATCTTTAAATAGAAACAACAGTAAGTAAATTAAACACATAAAGAGAAGAAAAGCAAAGGAACTACCAGATGGCAGTGTACAGCAATCAAACAGATATGCTGAAACACATCAGCAGCTATTGCCAGACCAGTCTGTCATAAATCTGTTGCAATGGAACTGTTTCCTGAATAGGGCATTACTCAGTGTAGCTAATACTGGCTCTAAGGGAATGAACAATAAAAGCAATGCAACTACAAAGAACACAACATATTTCTGTGATATTATATTGCATTACATTATATATTATGTTAATTATATTAATTATATTAATTATATTATATTATATTATTGTTTATTATATTTATTATGCTATATTGCATAATACATTTCTTTTGTCCCAAAACAGTAACTTGACATCTTTCAAATTTCTTTTTCATTGAAGCATATACATATTCTAAATATATTCCAGGACAGCTAAAATAATTTCCTATTACTCCTATCAGTATACTTGATGGAAGAGTGACAGAAATTGAAAGACATTATACATATTTATATACATTTTATATTATATATATTTTATATATATATATATATATATATATATATATATATACACGTTATCTGATAGAAAACTAAATAAGTTTTATGTTGTGATCTAAGTTTATCCTTACTTTAGTATTTCTAAAGGAACAGTATCTCTCTGGGTAAATGCACCTTTACAGATATTCTGAAGATAAGACACTTCAGTATATGTTCATTTAGGGTCTCTTTTTAAAAAATGTAATAGGTATTGCACATAGAAAAGATAATCTGTTAATTTTTGACTAGGAAAGGGTCTGAAAGTGGCTGTTAATCTTTGATTGTATTTTTAAGACTACCTTTATCTTCTTATTATAACTAAGACATTTAGTTTTAGATTTGAAAATATTACTCATTACATTTACTTTTGATATTGACTTCTCTAAGAAGTTGTTATTCTTAGATAACATTTACTCTAATTTCACTTGGTACATTTATTGGAGAGTAAATTTACTTTAAATTGGAAAACTGTATTGCATTTTAGAAATCTCACATAGGATTAAAGGTTATGCTCAAGTTATGGATGCTTACTTAGAGAGTCTTTTAAACTTCCTTGTGAGTAGCAGGTTACCAGCCTTGCTGAACTGATGACTAAATGATTTTGGAAGGAAATTCCATTTAAAAGTGTTGGAAGTCCCAAGGTCTCAAAGAAATTAGTATTTCTTTCATACTTCACATAATTTTATTTCCTTGTATGAGGAGTCTACATTAGAACATATTTCAAGCATAGTAACGTTCTTATAAAGGCTGTTTTGTAGTGCCTGGAATGGTCATATTGATTTTAAGACTTTGATTAATATTATTATGGACAAGTTCCTAGGTCTAATTTAGGAGTTATCTCACTGCTGATTTATTATTATTGTGTGCTGTTTGTTTCCTTATCTAGGGGAGCCAAGCCCCCCTTCAATTCATGGACAGCCAGAGAGTGGCAAGAGTTTTAAACTTAGCATAACTAAACAAGATGATGGAGGTGCCCCCATACTGGAATATATTGTCAAATACAGAAGTGTAAGTATTTCAGTTAATTAAAAGAAGTGAAATTATGCTTGTTAATATCTGCTTTTAATGCAGAGAAAATTGTTGATATTATTCTAAATTTACCAAAGTGATTTGCATTCCAGAAAATAATTTAAAAAAAAAAGGTGTAGTATGGTTTCTTTTGAAACTAAGTTGCAGCTGCCAGCATATAAAATAAAAATTTAAAAAAAAACAAAAAAGCACTCAGCTATTCCTAAAGGTGTACTGAAAATTCATGCTATCAAGAAAAATATGTTCTTTTTCGCTTATATAGTAAAAGTGGGACATTCATGTTCACCTTTTAAAAACACAGTAAATTAGCAAACATCAAAGTGACAACTTAAAAGAGGCTTGAACAACAAATTTTTAATCTATTATAAATGCATCTGTATTGATAGAAGGCTATATTGGAGTGCTCCATATTAATTGTAAATTAGCTGATCGTGTTCCATATCTTTTATCTGCCTGAATTCCAAGTCTCATATTACAAAAGCCATTGGCATATTGTTGGGAATTTCATGAGTTTCAGGGCACATACTTCTTCTTAGACAGCCATTGGGCAGAGGTTTTTTGCATTCTGCCTTCTAGAAAGCTCTGTTTTGGTGTTCTCTCATCAAATCTGGCAAGTTTAGAAAACAGGCTTTTCTGCAGTACATATTAAAAAAAAGTGTGTGGATTTTTTAAAATATTATTAATAATGTAGCTAAAATACATTTCCTGATGTACTGTGTTAGAAATGATTGGATTGAAGAAGTAGCTGCAGAGCTGGCAAAAGTGATGTGTTTCATTCCAGTGTGAATTTTAAAGAAATTTCCTTGTGTAGTACTTTTATTGAGTAGACCCATTTTACCAGAGTGTTACAGCAGAATTTCATGTCCATGAAAAGTCTAGAAAATTGGGAATGTAACATTGGTTATCTAGGCATGTTAAATGGAAGGTAGTGAGGACTGTATTTATTCACAGATAAAAGCAATTTTTGAGAAAGTGACTATAGAACCTGTTGGAATGTTACAAAAAGAAAAAGACAGTTCCTTTACTTGTAATAGGTTTTTGTCACATTATGTCCTCATACATTACAGTTAATGCAACTTTTTGGTTATAGTCTAGGGATTATCCGAATGCTAAACCTGGTATGTAAAATTATTCTCCTATGTAAATATAACCAAAGAAGATTAGTAGCTCCAAATTAATTGAGAAATATTTGGTAGCCATCTTAAGAGTAGTCTGGGGGAATGACCAGAAGTTATTCTGCTATCACTGATCCCTAAATCTAAATTGACCTTAAATTACTTTCCATCCAGTGAATACAGTTGACATAAAAGAAAAGTAATAGCAAAGACAAAGTTAGTAAAACATGCAATACAAGATAAAAATTTAGTTTTTCAAGATTGAACTTTCTAGTTAGATTACAATGCCTTTAAGTATTTACCACTGAGTACAAAGTAAACAGTTTGGATAAATACATTCATGCAGCATATGGAATTTAATCTGTTTTTTTGATTAAAACAAGATAAATTATTTTGGTTCTATCCCCAAAAAAATTTGAAAATCTAATTTTGATTTTGTGCATTTACTAAGGTACAATATAATGGTATAAAAGATCACTTTTTCTGTGTGGTGTTGGAAGGTAAATGTGGAGTTTAAGTAGTAACTGGAAACTTAAAAGGTTACTGAAGAAGATAGCTTTTCCTTGGACCTCAAATCCTTAACTCTTTGAACTTCCAAATGAAAAAGCAATTTGACTAAATTAAAGGCCTTTCTAGAACAAAAGAAGCAGAATATTTTTCTGTGTTTTAATCAGCAAGAATGAATGCTATTTAAAGTTCATAATTATCTGTTGACTGCTTCTCTTCCATCTTCCCCATTGGTCGTTTTTAATTAGCTTTCCTATAACTCTTGCCAGCCTCATTATTAGCACCTGGACCAATGTATTTGCTTGCATGTTTGAAGAGCATATTTGATAACAACCCATACATCAATGGCTTTTCCTTCAAAAAGTTAATTCACCCTTGAATAAATTTTATACAGATTTTTTTTGTCTTTTTTGTTTTTTTTTTTTAACTGGAAGAAGGCCAGACCTTGAAGTTGTTCGTTTTGGCGGAGGGGACCCCAGGGTGTCCCCGGAGGGCCCCCTAGGCTGTGAGTTGGCTGGCAGCAGCAGGCAGGCAAGGAGACTCCACACGGCTTCTGAGGGTGCTGACTGATGAGAGTTTATTTGGGGTCCCAACCCCGGGAACAGCATGGTTACTGAGGGGGAAGGGGGGAAGGGGGAAGGAGGGGGAGAGGGAGAACCTAGGGGATGGAAGGGCCAAGAGGGAAGCAGAAGTGCTAAGGGAGGAGAAAGGCTAAGAGAGCTACTGATTTCATAGCACAGCTTAAGAGGGAGATTGAAGTGGGCGCGGAATCAGACTTGGGCCAATGGGATGACAGATACAGGATGGTTCAGGGCAGGACCACAGGCTTAGCATATAGTATACATTTTGGAGGGGTGAGACAGAGCATACCATTTAAATAAAATGCAATACTACAATCCCTTATTAAAGCAATGTTACAGCCTGGTTGAAGGCAATCAGTAAGTTTTTTCTAGAAATCATGTATTTCATTCTGTTGAATATCCCTTTCCTAGCATCAGTTTCTTCTTATTATGGGCAGTAATTACTAACTACAATCAGATTACAGCAGCTTGACATTTCCTTCTGTATTCCAGAATATTAGTTACTGTGCAATTTTTATGATAAGCAGCCTCAATTTTTTCATGCTGTTGTACTAAGAAAGTTGAGACAGCCTGACAAAGCTTCACTGATGGAGTCTGAGCCTGAGTTCAAAGTTACCTTAGGAAAGAATAGGAAGGGAGAGAGTAAAACAAGGGAAAATTGCTCCCTGGTAACCAGCTGGAAAGAGCAGTGATGGGAATTCTCTAGGGAAGCGTCCTGACTGGTGCCAGAGATGACCAACCAACCACATTTCTCATAGGAACTCTTTAATATTTTTTCATGGGGGCCAACTCAAACTTCCCTTTGGTTCTTCTGCTTATGGTGCTTCCAAAGTTGGTTGGAACACACATGGTGATGTGCTGGTGTTTCACATCAGATATGAAGCTTTATCCATGTCAGTTATGGAAATGTGCTCAGTTGGTAAGTGGCTGTTGTCTGATGGGGCATTTACCAAGTAACAGAGTAATAAATTAAAATCAACAGGGGAGTGTTGATGTGACAAGGAGGCCCAGGAGGAAGGAACAGTGGGAGTACAGGGGAGAGGCTGTCACATTAGCTCAGGGTGTGCAGGTGGCCAGGACAGACAGACAAGAGAAAGGCAGGCTACAAAGCAGCCTTTGGAAAGTGTTGACACTGATTAAGCTTACTTCATAATGCTTAAAAAGAAAGTTCTGGAAAAAAAAAAAAAAAAAGAGGGGGGGGAGGGGAAGAGGGTTGTTTTGTATTTTTTTTTTTTTCTCTGGCAGGGAAAATTAAATTTTAGTGAACATTTGGAATTAGAAAAGAATAATAAAAATAACTCTCTTTTATGATTAAGAATCTTTTGATAGAAGCAAGAAAAATTTACTAAAGTGGCTAGTTTTTACAGGCCTAACATTTTTTCGCCTGTTTTTGACCTATGATGGGGTTACTATTAATGCTCTCAGTTTTGGCAGATAAGTTTGATAATGTGCTTTGCTCTGAAGCACATTCTCCATCTTTTGACTGTGTTGTTTGATGTGGGACATGTTAATTTTGTTCCTTTATGGTGGGTTCTACAACAAACTTTTAGATATAGAATATTTTAAGAGATGATTTCTCATTTGCTCCCACTCTGAGATACCTACCAAGAAGCAGGTAAATTATTTGCATCTACCTGCTGAATCCTCTGACTTTCTGTGTATTTTAACACCCTGTACATTTCCAGCTGTTTTGTGCTTGTTTCAGTATTTGCCCCTGAATTTTATTACCCATATTACCAGATCTAGAAATCCCCACCATGATGTATTTAATTCTTGTGAAGTCACTGCTTTAAATGATTTAGATTTTGTTCTGTGAGGATTTCTTGATATTTTTTCCTGCCAGCTTTCAAGACACTGTGGTGTCTCCTGTCCATTTTTTCATCACAGGGACCACCATAATAAATCTGTTTGAGCTGAGTTGTCAGCTCAACAATTTAGAGATGATGGAGAATAAGGGAAGAGTTGAAGAGGGTTAGTAATTTTTCTCACTTTTTGTGAGATCCCAGAGAATGTGATTTTGGATACAATGTAGAATGACCATTAAAGAGAGAGATGGCATTTTCTAGACTAGTAGACTGCTGCCTAAACAATGAATTGGCTTTACTTCCACTGTTGTCAGGTGTGCCCTCAGTTTTCAGAAGCAGTCAAGCCATGGTAGACCAAAATTTTACACTGCATTGTTTAGTTCTTGAGGTTTTTTGGTGGGTTTGTTTCAGGGGAAGTGTGTTTGTTTTTGTTTTTGTTAGGGTATTTAGTTGGTTAGGTCACAGCTGTCTTAAAACAGACTCTTCTTAACTAAATTTGGCTGATGCTTATACTATGAAAACAAAACTATATAAAGCCAATATATACACATTCAAGAAATAATGATGTGAGGATTTTGCAGTTAATTTTGTTTTATGTTAGAATAAGGCTGAAGAGTAATGGAAGTGGGCAGTGAAATCCCCAGAACTGCCAGTCACTAGCTAGGTTATCAGCGACCTTTTGTAAAGGAGTATTTCTGTATGACATGAAACAAAATAAGATGTAAATAAAGGAACAGTTTAATCTCTGAGGTTGCAGATCCCATCACAGTTTCTGTAAATGTGGATTTGTTGCTAGATATTGATAATTATTGAAGACATTTATATTAATTCACCCTCCAAACTAGACTATCATTTGTAATTTAGAAGTTTCATTCCTTTTGTTGTAGAACATTGTGCATATGTAGAGCTTTCTATACATTTTAAGTATTAATAACAGAACAACTTAATATGGTACAAAGTGATCTCTTATGGTTCTCTCTTCTGCTCCTCTCTCTTCTCTTCCTTCCTCCTAAGCTGCCATTGAAAGGGTCCTATATGAAACAGGGAGATTTGTGGGAAGATTTACCTGGCAGACCCATGATTTGTGTTCTCGTCCCTCTTTTTCCATTTTTACACTTGTAGTAAATCAAACATGGACACATTATTGAGCTCTGCTTAGGAGAAGGCACTTGAAAATGCAATATAGCTGAAATAACAGCTGTAATGAAGGACATAGAAGTTATTTTCCTTTTTTTGTTTGGTTTTTTTTTTGTTTTGTTTTGTTTTGTTTTGTTGTTGTTGTTGTTGTTGGGGTTTTTTTCCTTCTTTAAGAAGCCATAATCAGACAGTAAGTACTCTGGAAGATTTAATCTCTTTGTCTTTATAACACAACTTGCTCTCCATACATTTTATTCCTCTTCCTCCTAACTTCTGTTTGTCACTCTTCAAAAAGTTTTCTGTCTTTGCACTCAGGTCTTGGACTTTGTTTCATGTATCTCAATTCACCCATTTGGTTTCAGTTTCAACTAAATTATGGAATCTCTGGCATAGTATTTGCAGGTATCTTGTGACATTTCAGCTCATTCATTAGTTTTCACCTGACCAAATTGTGGAACACCTTCCTTTTCACTTGTTCTTCTGTGTGCAGAAGTGCAGCTTCATTTCATTCATCACATAAATTTTTGCACTTTTTTTTCAAAATGGAATCATATCTCTGTTTTCAATACTGTCTTTTTCTGCAGCAACTGTGTTAGCCTGAATCTTTAGTTTCCAACTCAGTATATTTTTTTTGTCTTTCTATGTTTTTGAAACCCCTTGGAATTCCCTAGTATATTCACGTGGCATCTATGTACAATACTGAGATAATGTAGAGAACTTCTGATACATGTTGATATTCTTTGAAGTCTAGCTGTATTTCCTCTAACTCCTTCCATACCTCACCAATTTCAACAGGCATTAAAGTACAGTGCTACATAACACTGCTATTCATAATATCACTAAAGAGTATTTTCATATGCATATTGCAACCAGTATTAGCTCCTTCTATTTCAGCAGTGCTATGAAAAAATATATTTTATAAAAGGAGTCTAGTATAGTGACAATGTGCATGGATTCACTCAGGTGATTGCAATAGAAAGTATCCGTCAAGATATGGGAAAATATCCTTTACAGGAAATACTGCTTTCACTGGAAATACTCCTTGTATGATGAACAAACTGGTTTTACTCCAGTGTATGAAGTTATTTTCATGATTTGTAACTGACCTACCATTCTGATGTTTTTCATTAGGAAAATGCACGAAGTAGGAATTTCTACCTGGATGAAAATATTCCTGAAAACAGGTTTTGTTAGATTTTAATTATTCTCAGAACTATCATGTGACAATACCAATGCTAATGCAGACAAAGCAAGAAAGTTTATGAAAAGGTGAAGTCAGTAGGGAAAAATCGTCGGCCTCAGAGCTGATAACAAATAAATTATTACAGCAATGCACACAAGGGAATTTAGTGTGTTCTGTATTTTCTGAAGACTGGGGACAGATAAAAAGAAAGTCATAGAGAACCTGATTGGTCCCTGAACTCTATAAATTAGTTGCTATTTTCTCTGAAATCTGTATCAGTGAAGAGCAAGATGCTTCAGCATAGAGCCTAAATATAAGCTGCTGAGTGATGTGCAGCTAAGAATTTATACTTGCAGGTATTATAAGTTTGTTTGGCTTTAAATTTTCCCATATGGTTTATACCCACTGATTTGGTTTATGTTGCTGTAGGGGTTGGATGGCCAGGATCTGTCTCAAATATTTGTGCCATGCTATCGTACCTGTGTCTCGTAAGAGTATGGCTGCATGGACTGTCACTGACTGTTATTGGCTGTCCTTTGAACAAGATTACTTTTTTGTTTGACACTATATATTGCTTTATCCTTCCAGTCATTAATAATTGTGTAATTTCTATCTGTACATTAAAAAAGTATTATGCACTCAAAATAGCTATTGAAAAGGTAAGAACTCCGGATTTATGAAATGCCAGGATTAAGTTTGCAATATAAGTCCTCATTTGTTCTCTTTGTGTAGATGTCTTAATTACCTGAACTATGAGAAATTACGAGAATCCTTTTTTTGTCTAGAATACCATCCTAAAAATTTGCATGTATCCTCTCACAGGTGTAGACATAGTACTTCATATTTTGTCAATGATATTTGTGTTCTTGCATGCAACCTGATTTACGAAATGTTTCCATATTGCTACAATTAGTGTATATTTTAAATAACTAAAGTATGTATATGTTAAATAACTAAAGTGTGATATAAGCACAGCTGGACTCCTGAACAATTCACAAATGGGTTTAATGGCAAGTTTGTTTGAATGAATATTGATCAAAATGTAATTGAAATGTCTGTGTAAAATAAACTTCTTACAAAATTTATTTTTAGCATTTTATTATATAAGTGATTAACCTGCTGTTTTATAAAATAAAACCCAGTATTTGACCAGAGAAAAAACTGAAGACAAAAAGTTTAAAAGGATTGACCACAAAATTCTCTAAATCCACATTGTGGAAACATGATAAGGAGTAGTCAAAATTACAAAAAAGCCTAAGTACTCAGAACTCCAACATTAGATTAGTGTTCATAACCTCTGTAAAGGCAGCTCCATATCTTTGTGCATCATGTCCATACAGACTTTAGACAAATAATACAGGAGTTTGGGAGAATTGAAACAAATGTTTTCATCTTTACAGAAAGATAAGGAAGACCAGTGGCTAGAGAAAAAAGTACAGGGTAGTAGAGACCACATCATCTTAGAGCATCTTCAATGGACCATGGGTTACGAAGTACAAATTACAGCTGCCAACAGACTGGGTTATTCTGAACCAACATTGTATGAATTCAGCATGCCACCAAAGCCCAACATCATTACAGGTAAGTTAATTTCATCATGTTTTCTCTCTATGAATTATTTACAACTCATAGTACACTGTGTATATCTGAGCATAACGTATCTGAAGTCTTGGACTGGAAAACGTGAAGCCCCAGATTTTGTTATCAGCAAAAAAATTGACTTGGGACCCTTAAATGGGAACCTGTCTCCCACTCTTCTCTTAGTAATAAAGTAATTTTTAAGTATAGAAGAAACATTGATTCTTCAACCCTGTTGATGGCACTCACCACGAAATACCATATTTAAGATACACCTGCTTTTCAAGTTGCCTTGTACTGCCTGTTCTCTGGTTAAGCCAGTTATTTTCTAGAATTCTTGATTTAATTCCCATCTCTACATGTGCTTTGAGCTACACATGTAATAAAGGCATTTATTTTAGTGCCTGATGAGATTATGACTTCAAATAGTCTTGTTTAGAAACTGTGTGAATGATTCACCCTAACATAGTGACCAAACAGTCTTCTATGAGGTGCATTTACTACATTTGAAATCTATTGAAACTTTGTTCATATTTTAAAGTCTGTAAATAGGAAGGTTTGAAATTCCTTTTAAGAAAAACTGGATTTTAGTCAAGAGTGAGTGAGTTTTAATACTTCCCAATATAAGGGGTTTTTTTGATGCAACAATGAAAAAATATTTAGCTAAAATAAAGTATTTTCTGGAGTATTATGGGGAATTTTCATTTTATAAAGAAAATGCTATGAGGAAAATATTTCAAACTATTAATTAAAATTATGAGCTACATTTTTAATAATTATTTCCAAATTAGATTAGTATCATCATTACCACTTGAAAAATCAAGTTCTAAATCCTCTAACATAGTATTTTTTGACGGCCATTTTTCAAAATGTTAGTGTATTAGAATCAAGGAAGAATTTGCCAAATAAATACAATGGCAAATATATTAAAATGTAAACCATATTAATACCTGTATTTCAATATGAACACCTGATTATCATACAGTGCCAATGAGCTGGAATAAGTCATGAAAATTTTGAAATAACTGGCTGTTTTTTTTTCTTGTTTATTGTAAGTTTCCTTCCAATATATTTTCAAGAAATTTATCTCAAGATCTCTGCAACACGTTTGAATATTCCATAGAAGTTTTTATAATATTGGAAGCATGCTTACCTTTTATTTATTGTAAAGAAAACATATTTGTAATTCATTCATAGACTCAGATCCAGTTCTAGTACAAATATTTGTTTATGCACTTGAATTGAAGTTGATTTTCATCTTGATTGAAATTCGGGGTCTCAGTAGGTTCTGTGTACTTGTTTTTAAACAGGCAGGGTCTTGTGATTCAGATTCATCATTCAGAAATAAATTTTCCTGGTACTGAAAAAGAAAAGGGGAAAAAATGTAGGGAAACTCATTGTTCTGAGGAAATGAAAACATCGGCATATAAATAAATATTTATGTATAACTAAAAATTCTGCATATGTCAAACAAAATATTACTTCTTTTACGATGTATTCTAACTTTAGACTTTTATAATTATGTAAATGATTCCATACTATTGCCATAGCTGCTGTAGCAGAGAAACTTAATTCTCCTCAGTAAATGATAACATAGGTGGTCTCTAGGCATTCAAGTAAGAAGCAGCTTAGTTAATTTAATTTCAGAAGAAAGATAGAACATTTCTCTCTAAAAAGAGTTTTATAGGTACTTAGGGGCTTTTTCCTTTCAGTGCTCTCTCATAACCTCTAAGTAGTTGTATGAAGTCTGTTACACTATTTAACTTCAAGTCTTCTTTGCGTGAATCATTACTGCAATTATGATTGTGGAACTAATTAGTTTCCTTGACAACTGTTTTTCCAAAGCCTGAAAAAGAGTGTGTAATTTCCATCATAAGAACATTCTGTAGGGGATATTTTAAAGTATGTCAAAAGACCATTAGAATCAGCCAAACATTAGTCTTCATATTCATGAGTCAGCATGATTATCTTGTTTTGAAATGACATAATATTATAACTACAATGTAATACTATATACCTATATACATAATGCTGCAAAAATATGAATGTAATCTATTCAATCATAATAGAGTTTATGTATAAAATGCTTAAGTTTGAGCAGAAATATTCTTTCTGCTGTCAGTTAATGCTGATGATGCACTATTTTTTTGAGGCTTTGTTATTAACAGCTAGGTGTCTACAGATAAATTTTAAAAAGGACATAGAAAACAAGAATGAAACTGGGCAAATTTTTGAATGAAATCTTCATTTTTCTTGTGCTCACTGAGTAGCTACAGTAACCAACATTTTCTTTCATATTATTAATGTAATAATTAGAAAAGCCTCTAAGACTCCTGAAGGTGTTCATCTGTATTTGCTGAAATACAAATTTAGCTGAACTGAGTGTTTATGTCTGGTCCTAAATTTAAAGATAAATAAATCTGTAGACCCTATGTATGTGATCTCATGAATATTACTTATGCCAGGTGTATCTTGTTGGTTAACTACACAAAACATAATACCCTGGTGAAGTGTATACAAGCTAATGAAATAAACCAGGGAGATTGAAGGAAGATTGAAGGGAGATGGAAGCAAGGACGTGTTGGCTGTCCTTCAGTGGGTGCTTAGGAGGGAAATAGGCGTAGTCACAAGAACTAAAACCTTGCTTCTAAATTCTGCAGAAGGAGCTTGTTTGTGCTTTCAAAAGCCATTGGATATCAGGCAGAAGTAGTAATCCCTGGGGACAGGAACTAGAAGCCAAAACTCTACTTATGTGAATATACAACTCCTGTGGGCTCTGAATCCACAACTTCTGCTTCCTAGGGAAGTGTGCAAGTACCAGCTCCTGGCTGCAAGTCAAATCCCATCACAATATGATGATCTTCCAGTAACAGTCTAGGTCTGGGAAGGAGCTTGAGGCTGAAAATTGCTGTGGCGTCAGGAAGGTGCATAAATGAGACAGACATTCCTTTAAATTTTCATGTGGTTGGCCTCAGCAGCCTCCAAATGTAGATCTACTTATTTCATAATGTGTGTTCCTAGGCCTGTAAGACAGTATCCATTCACTGAGCCACTCATATTTGTGACTAGTTCCTTACAATTTGAAATCCTGCTAATGAAAGTGTCCTGGTTTTCTAAACAGTTCACCAATGGAAACTTGCACTGACTTTAAGAAATGCCCAACCAGCAAACCTTTTTAAAACATTTTGAGTTACACAGCTGTATGTATAGATTTATTAAAGTGTGTGTATATGTATATATATGTATATATATATATATATACACATATATACTTTCACATATATATATATATACATACACACACACACACACACACCATTTTCCTTCCTAGTTTTCTGAGTTATGTTTTGTGGTCACAATTCTATATTTGGATTTCACATTTCACTTAGGTATATGAACATGTATTTTAGACTCATGCTTGGGGAAAGAGTGGCACTCTTAAATGTAGTATTTTATGTGTTCTAAAATCTCACCAGGGATGTTAGTTGGCAATACTTGCAAGAAGGTACAACTCTAACCTCAGTGTATTTTGCCTCTGGGTGAAGTATTTATCCCACTTTTAGTGCTGATTTGTAATGTTTTATAAAATTTGCTTCTGGTTTATCTATACTGTTAAGCTTTTAGTTCTGTGGGATTCTCAAAGAAACTGTTTGCTTCAGCTCTTCATCCATATTAGAAGAGCATGCACTAAACTCTGCAGCCATAAAAGCCCCTGAGAGCAGCTCAAGTCTATTAGCTCCCAGAGGTGACTCTACAGCCCATTTGTTTGGGCCCTTTCACTCTTTCTCTACAGTGAAAAGACAGAGATCCTGTCTTTGTACCCCACAGCTGGTACAAAAGTGTCCAAATCTGCTGTCATTCTGAAACATTACAGTTGCAACCTAAAAACACATGTACAGGTTAATGCTAAATCTCCAAAGAAAATGGAATGGAAGGTGCTAAAAAAGATCCTTTCTGCAAGTGTTAAATATATTTTCAGGAATTACCAGCAGATTTATGAAAGTGTCATTTTCCAAAGGCTTTTATCCAAGTAATGCTGTTACTTTGAAAGGCCAGTAGATATATTAAAAATGGTTGCACGTTGTGTTTTATCACAGTTTTTTTCTTCTTCACTAGAAGCTAATAACTTAGTGCAGTAGTGGGAAAATGAAAAAAATATTTGTGTATAACAAGAACCTCTTAGATCTATTTTTCTTACTTTGTGATACTGGTTGTTTGAGGCTTTTTTTGTTTGGTTGGTTGGTTGTTTTTTTCCAGTACTGCATGAACTGTGAGTGTAGTTTTTTATTTCCATGCCTGAAAAAGTTTTAATCCCTTGAACATCTCATTTATTTATTTCCGTGCATGTGTATCACCACACTTTAAATCACATAGTGGGAAGCAAAAGAGGGATAGTAATACATGGTATTTTTTCTCATCACCACCAATGCCAAAGATAAAAATCACCATGTCAAACATGATTTTTATCAGTAGTTTTTGCAAAAAATACAATGGGATCTGCAGTGCTCTTGACACGAATGAAAAATGAAAGCAGCTCTTATCATTGCTTCAAGTATGTGTGCATATAGTTGGGTTTGCATTTATGTGTATACATTTTATGATGTAGCACTAGAGCTTTTGACAATGTTTTGTTAGAACAGAAGCTAGGATAAGGTTTTTCAGTCAGAAACTCAAAATTACTAATTACAGCAAAAGAGAAACAAGTTTCCCTGGTTATCGCAGTTTTCTTTCAGGGCAAGTATTTTCTTTAAATTTTTCTCTCAGTCAAACAATCAGGTGACCTTTTGAGGACAGAAATAAATGCTATATGATCCCAACTGTGTAGCTGGGGTAGGTTTTTGTTCCTGTCACTTCTTGCAATCAAAGAGCATATTCTCTTGCTGCACCCTATCTCGCCCACCCCTTCAACCCATGGGCTACGTGGGTTCCCTGGCACAGTTTCCCTAGCTCTGAAGGGCATTTTCCCCTTATCCCCTGACCATGCACGCACTAAGAGAAGCCAA